TTTTACACTGCAGACCTGAGAACAAGGCCTTTAATCTTTGTAAGACACTTTGGAAGCTTTTTCAACTGAATTACAGGATAAATGCTTCTGAAATAAACAAACAAAATGGTATTTTTCTTAAGCCAAAAAAAAACACAATTAAGGGTATGATCTGGATCTCTTGGGGCAAGTAACTTGAGACTCCAGATTAATTACAGCACAAATCCCATCCCATCCATGATTCAGTTGCTGATGGAAACTGCTGTGTAACTGGAACATGTACAATATACTAAAGTCTCCAGACAATGGAGCAACAGCCATTTATCCTGGAAGAACTATGACAATCACAGAGATATGAAAGATGAGCCTAGCATCCATTCTGAATTGCCTACACCCTGTTTCTGCTTTTGGTACCTATATCTTATTTTGTGCCTCCAGTGAGTCTTGACCCCTGGCAACTGCTTGGACAAATCCCTGCAGTTTTCTTGCCAGCCAACCTTTTTCTAAAGTGGTTTGCCCTGGCCGCCTCCTTCCTAAGGCTGAGAGAGAGTGACTGGCCCAAGGTCACCCAGCTGGCTTTGTGCCTAAGGCAAAACTAGTCTCCCGGTTTCCAGCCTGGTGCCTTTTAACTTGTTGCACCAAACCAGGACTATGGTTATGGATCTGGGCTAGGTTTTAGAGATTTACTTCTAAGATGGAAATAGTCATTTTCATCTGCAGAAAAAAAAAACAAGGCAAACAGTTTAGAAACATAGGAAACTGCCTCCTCTAAAGGCAGATCTCTGTCCCATCTAACTCAGTATTGCCAAGAACTCTCCAGAATTTCAGATTGACTCTTTTTCAGCCCTTACACAGTAGTTCTAAGGAATAAAATGCAGTTTTGTGCATATGAAACACATACTCTGCTAAGGAAATAAAATACCGTGGAACTCTTAAAAAGTGCTTTCTGTCTCAAGAGAGTTTGGATGGACACTGTGAAATTAGGAAGCTGTGGCAATGGGTTCTTTTTTAAAAAAAAACTATTACATTTCAACAGAAAATAAAATATTAGATACTTAAGAAGAAAGAAGGGAATAGAAAAAGAGAAAAGATCAGAAAAGAAATACAAGGAGAAAAAAAGTAGGAAAAGAAAGATGCGGCAACGGATTTTTGTCTCTCTGTTATGCCATACATTCTATTATGCTCCGTATCTATCACCTAATCCTGTTCTTTTTGATGACTGTGGTGCCAACTGAGAAGAGAGTTGAAACAGCCTTAAAACATGCCCATTCATCACAACAACTTAGTCTGTGTGTCACTTTTTCTGAAATTTTGCAGGTTAAACCTTTTGAAGGGGGTCACTCCACCTCCCCGGATCTGAAGACTCCCCTTCCTCAACAGTCTTAGCTGTTTAACCAAGTCCACCTCTATGCGCTATGCCACTTCCAAAATTAAAGAAAGCTGCTGGATCTGTCACGGGCAAATCAAGCTGTGCCACATCATGGCCTATGTGGACCACTATGTAACTGTCACTGAAATCATCACTTCTGAGGGCCACCATATCATCCAGGCCACATGCCACATGGGATCCCCAGAAGTTGTTTGCACCACTCCCTAAGTTTAGGGGAAAAAATATTTTAAACTTGGAAATATCTGAAATTCTCTGAGATTCCAAATCTTGTGTTTGTGTCTTTTGCTTGAAATCTCATGAGACTTCAGATGAGAGCACAAAGATCTCCTGAAATTTCTGATTTTTTAAAATTATTATTTTGGCACCAACCCTATGGATCACCTGCTGTACCTTACTGACCAAAAGCTGGGAACGAAAAGGTCTAGGCTTGTCCACGCTATTGATTCTATGCTTCTTTGTTACTCCTGTACTAAAGTTACTCCTGTACTAAGGACCTACAACTGTATTTTATGTCCTATCTGCTCTACGTAAAAGCCCAATGTAATACGGCTTTTATTACATATGTTATGTATGTTTGACACTACAAAAAGAGAACAGTGAATCTAGCATAAAACGCACAATCCGAACTAACTCACATACTCTGTTCTGCTGTTGATAATCATGGGGAAAAAAACTAAAAGGATTTATGCAGGGCTATCGATCCCTCAATAATTCTGCCTCCTGATGGCTGAGTCTTCTAGAGTGGATGGCCCTCTCAAATTGAAAAAAAAAAAAATGAGGAGTTTACCTCTTTACTTTCTGGCTTCTTAGCCTTGCTCATATGCTTTCAAATCTGGTAGGTCAATCGATCTACACCCTCTTCATTCTGGCCTTACTGGATCTTCAAATGGTTTTCTGAAAGAAAATAACTCATCTGGAATCCTCCCATTTTTACCCGAGTGGAGTTCTGAGCAGCTGGCTGAGTGCCAAGCATCTTCTTCTCAGTCCCCATCAGCCACATCCTGACATTAGAACCTTTTGCAGATAGGTCTGTCTGCCTCCAACTCTTGTGGATATCTGATTTTGTCTTCGGGGACCAAAAAAAAAAAACCGTTCTGAAAACGTTCAGTTCCTTACACGGGAGAAATTCAGTGGGCTGCACAGATGGGCAAAGGCGCTCTGCATCGCAATTCGAGAGGACCCCACCAATTGAGGAACCCGGCAAATCCAACAAGGCAAGTTCCTTGTAGCAGTTTAGATGGTTTCCATCAAAAGAATAACTATCCATTAGCAGCCTGTAAGATCTAGATGGAAGGGTTTAGGGTTAGGCCTGGTACCGACTTAGCAAGCCGAATATTTTGGAAGGCGAAGAATCCAGATGTAGGCGAAATGATGCTGCTGCCTTCCAAGCCTTCGTGTCCGGACTTCCCGCGCGCCTCGGCCCCGAGGAGGCTGCGCAGCGCCCGCACCCCTCCGCTAGGACTGCCCGCTGCTCGCTCCTGCTCTCTCCAAGAGCTCTTCCGCTCGCGCCGCTGGCCTGCAGCGGCCGGCCTCGCCCGGCTACCAGCACTGCGCCGC